TCAAACTGACTTTACAGTCCAGTGCATTAACCCATAGAACCACACCAGGACCAAGAGGTAGTTTTTTTAAAAGATATTTTTACAGTAATTACCCATCATTCATAGTTATATTACGTACATGGAAGCTGCAGCAAGAAATTAAACAGAAGACAGAGTAAGATGGTGAAGTGAATGTAAACTCCCAATTACTCTCCCAAAAATTAACCCAAGGAACAAAAAAATACAAAAAACACAGGCTGAGATCTCAAAACTCAGGACAACTGCAGTGTTGGAGATTCTGGGTGAGATTAGAAGTGGAGGGAAAGAGGAATGTGGAGGGCACAGAAGCTGAGAGAACCTTCCCACTAGCACTGAGACTGAACTGGGTAACACTCCAAACAGGAAGCATAAGGAAGCTGTAGCCTGATTGTTTTAATGCAAGGTAAGCAGGCTGTAGGAGTTTTGTGGGCCGTTATTGGGAGGAAGTAAAGGAGCTCTGGTAGCACAGTGGTTACCAATCAGACTGCTAACCTCAAGGTCTGCAGTTTGAAACTACCAGCTGTTCCTCAGGAGAAAGATGAAGCTTTCTGCTCCCAGAAAGATTTATAGCCTCAAAAACCCTGTACACAGTCACTATAAGTTGGAACCGACTCCACGGTACTTAACAACAACAACAACAACAAAGAGAGAAAGGTATTGCAAGAGAGTGTTGTTGAATCAAGATGAGGCCCAAGCTGGAAAGGCACTCGGATGGAAGATACAGCAAGTGCAACACAGTGAGGAAATACTTCAGACTGACGTGGCAACACAGAGAGAAATGGCCCACAACAGAATAGCCTGGGTGAGTTTGTACAAGGGCATTCAAGATGGAAAGACATAAAGAGCCTACCATTTGGAGTCCTAGTGTGGTGCCGTTGGTTAACGCATCAGACTGCAAAGCCATTTGAACTGCAAGGTCGCTGGTTCAAGCTCTTCAGCTGCTCCTCAGAAACCCTATACAAGGTCACTATGGGTTGGAATAGACTCAACAGTACTTAATAACAACATTTAAACACAAAAAGGCTAAGCCCACCACTTAATATCAGCTTCCATTTAAACCCTTTCTAACATATGTATCGGGCTGCTAACCTCAAGGTCGGCAGTTAGAAACTACCAGCTGTTCTACAGGAGAAAGATGAAGCTTTCTGCTCCCGGAAAGATATGTAGCCACGGAAACCCTGTGCAGTATCACTATGAGTCAGAATCAACTCCACAGTATTCAACAACAACTCATATATGTATATACTGAATTCCAGAGAACAAGCATCCAGAGCGCTTGAAAGAGTACTAAAAAAACCCTAAGGATAAGAGCACCGTCTACTGGTCCTTAGAAGATACCAAGTCTGCTGCTGCTGGGTAAATTTTGATTCACAGTGTCCCTGTGGGGCTGAGTGCCTCTGCCCTGTGGGTTCTCAAGGAAGTACAGATTTGGAAAATTTAAACAGACCCATTACAAATGAAGAGGTTGAAGACATCATCAAAAAACTGCCAACAGCAACAAAAAACCTAGGCCAGATGGCTACACTGGAGAATTCTTTCAAACAGTCAGAGACAAATTAAACACCAATCCTATTCAATTACTTCAAAAACTTGAAGAAGAAGGAATACTATCAAACTCCTTCTAGGAAGCCAGAGCAACACTGATACGTAGGCCAGGCAACAATATCACATACACAGAAAAAGAACATTACACACTATAATCAACTATAAACATACATGAAATTTTTTTCAACAAAATTCTAAAAGTCTACTACCACCATATAAGACCCACAATCTTATCCACCCTGAGACCAGAAAGACTAGATAGTACCTGAGTATCAATACTGACTGTTCTGAAATATTGGTATCAAAATACTGGGATAGAATGGGAGAAAAATAGAAAACAGAACTCAAATTCTTATTTTTAAAAAAGGTCAGATAAACTGGAACAGTAAAGGACAGAGTACTCCCCTGAGACTATTGCCCTGAGACACTTTTTAATCTAGACCTGAGTCTATTCCCTGGTATCGCCTTTTAGTATTAACTGAGGGGCACGTAAACTAAAGGATATTGCCCATAAGAATGGTGTCCTACTTAAAAATGTCTTACTCATACTATCAGTATGAGACTAAAAGGCCAACAATTACTCAAAAGTAAAGATGCTAAGGTATGGGAACAAGGACATCAGAATACTGGAGTGGAAACAAAGTGAATACCACTGATGGGAATGATGATATATTGTGATAAATGTAACTAATATCACTGAACAGTTCATGTGGAAACTGTCAAATGAGAGCCTAATTTGCTGTGTAAACATTTACCAGAAACTCAATAAAATATTTAAAAAAATAAAATAAAACACCATATTACAGAAGACTTCTCTAAAATGTTAAAAAGCAAAAATGTTAACTTGAGTGCTAAAGTGCGCTTGACTAAATTTTGAACTGCCCCATATGCGTGTAAAAGCTGGACGATGAGCAAGTTAGACAAGTGAAGAATTGACAAATTTGAATTATGGTGCTGGAGAAGAATACTGAAAGTACCATAGACTGGCAGAAGAACAAATCTGTCTTAGAAGACATACAGCCAGAATGCTGCTTAGTATTGAGAACCAAACAGTATATTTCAGTCTGTTGCACATAAGTGTGCTATGAGTCAGTACTGACTCCAAGTTCCCTAACGAGAAGAAAAACTATGGCCTCATTTTTTCCCTTCCACTGCTCTACTTAAAAATTTCATTAGAATGATACACACGAATCAATAAAATGAACCTTGATTCATATAATAATGTGTGCAGTGCCTAGAGCTTGTTTTGACATAAAATATTTTCCATTATAAATGCAGAAGAGAAAAAAAGAACCGGTCTTGTCTTATTGAAATTCTATTAACAATTCAATAATCAATAATGTCACCTAAGAAATTTATTTTAGAATATACACACACAGACATATACATATACAAAGGGGCTTAAAAAATTTCATGGAGAAATTACATCTTTTAATACCATTTTTCCACGAATTTTTGAAGTCCCCTCATAGATATAAAAATTGGTTATCGTTGTTAAGTACCATTAAATTAGTTCTGATTCATTGCGACCCTGTATAGGGTTTCCAAGGAGTGGCCAGTGGTTTTGAACCACCAACCTTTGAGTTAGCAGTCTAGGGCTTATCCTACAGCACCATACCAGTACTCTCTCTCTACATATATACATGTATGTATGGCTATCTATATAACATATATATATAGTACTTTTATAAATTATGTTACTAGAAAGAGACGAAAACAAGTTTATGTTAGATTTGATGTTTCTTCTTTCACTATCAAAATCATCAGAATAACTTGTTTCTCCAGAACATTCATACCAATTTTTTCTATATCTATAACCCTACTTCTGAAAAAATGGTTTTTACTAGTAATTTGGAGGAATATTTTAAAATTATAAATAAATTGAAAACTGCCAGGAAGAAAGCTGAAACACTGGTAACTCAGTGAAAGGGTGAGAAGCAATTCATACATATTAATTCACTGACTACTTGTCTCTGAGGCTAAGGATTAAATTCAGATCATATCATAAAAATGGAATTTGATCTTTATATGAATTTTAATTTTACCTTGAACTTGCTCAGAACATCTCTCTCTGGCCTTCTCTCTCATTATTTTAGGGATCAAAACATCCTTTTCGACATGTCTGAGATGGTGTTCTAAAAAGAAATAAATAAAATTTTGCTTTAATATACTAAAACTGTTAGTTCAACTTACAAAAAAGAACAGAGCCCTGTTTAAAAAAAAATCTTAAGTCTCAAGTACAACACCAGATTAATGAATGAAAATAAGCCCACTGGCTTCCTTACAATAAAAGCCCAAACAAATATATGAAAACAGGACTCTTTAAAACCTGTTACGATTACAATTCTTTCAGCCACTGAAAATCATTCTAAATATTTTTTAATACATGATAGAAAAAAAAGAAGTACTTGGATGGCACAAATTGTTAAACACTTAATTACTGGAAGAAAAGCTGATGGCTCAAATTGATCCACAGGCACCTCAGAAGACAGACGTGGAAATCTGTTTCCAAAAGGAAAACCCTAAGGGACACAGTGACAACTGCACACATGCAGCTGTTGTAAGTCAGAGCAGGCACAGGCAACGTCTTTCAAAAAGTTTCTGCAAACAATACTGCAAAACTTTACATGTTAACATATTCCACGAAGTCTTGTCAAAATTAATGTTACCTGTAGTATACACCCTTTGGTTGGTTAATGATGCATGGAGGGGACTGTAACCATGGCAATGAAACGATATACGATAGGAGGAATGTAAAGCTAATGTTCGCCTATGTAAACCGTCACATAATTCACAATAAAACATAAAAAAAAAAAAGATGGATTGGCAGAGTGGGAGCAGCAATAGGCTCAAGCTTAACAAAGATTGTGAGGATGGCACAGAAAAAACAAAAACAAAACTAATGTTACCATCTAAATCACCATATTTCTTAAGTTGGAACCGATGTGAAAGCACGTAACAACATCCACAGTTACACTGAGATGGCTAACTGGGTAATTGCTTTCAATTCCCACCTGCTCCTTAAATTCTTAAAAAGATTTTCATCATACTTAAATCCAAGTAGAGCTGAAGGGATCCAAGACTAAGAGACCCATGTATATTGCTGTTGTTGTTAAATGCCATTGAGTCTATTCCAATTCATAGCGACCCTGTATAAGGTTTACAAGGAGTGACTGGTGGGTTTCACCCACTGATCTTGCGGTTAGTAGTCCAATGCTTATCCTACAGTGCCACAACAGAATTTCAATTAGTAATAAAGAGTGAGTGGTCAAAGAAACAAAGATTTAGAAGTAGAAAAGGTGAAACCACTGTCCATATACAAAATAAAGCAAGTTCGATTTCTGGGCATTTTAAATACAACCACCTGGTGTGGTGCTATAGCAAAAGCACTGGACTGCTAAATGCAAGGCTGGCAGTTCATACCTATGAGTCACTCCTTGGAAACCCTATGTATTGTCCCTGTAAATTGGAACTGACGTGACAGCACGTAACAACATCCACAGTTAGACTAAGATGGCTAACTGGGTATCTGCTTTACATTCCCACCTGCTCCTTAATTTTCTAGACAGCTATGAAAAACAAAGCAGGGGTAGCTATCCTCAGTGAACCAACAAAAAGCAGATGAGATCACACTAAAGGAGGTAAATGTAGGCCCAGGCTAACAGAAAAAAACTGATGTCACAAATGGATGCTTCTGCAGGTTCCAAGCAGCACAAATGAGGAGCACGATGCTGCATGGATAAAATAAAAAGGTTATTACTTAAAGTTCCTCAGCAGGATGAACAAATTTGTCTTAGAAAAAGTACAGCCTGTATTACTCTGGACATGTTATCTGGTGGAGCCCATTTCTGGAGAAGGACATCATGTTTGATAAAGTAGATGGTCAACAAAAAAGAGGAAAACCCTCAATGAGATGGAGTAACACAGAAGCTACAACACAGGTCTCAAACACAGCAATGACTGTAAGGATGGCACCGGACAGGGCAGTGTTTTGTTCTGTTTTAATAGGATCTCTATCACTTGGAACCAACACAACAGCACTTTACCACAACCACCTCAGCAGGAGCTAAATGGGTCACCCTCTTCTGCATTCCTTCAGACCACAAGTCAAAAGAGTAAATGCAGATATTTGTTCGCACATGCCCCACCCCTCCACCCCACCCCCAAAAACCCAGCTTCCCAGCAGCTTGTAAGTCCTTGGAGGACAAGAATCCCTAACTCCTCCTGGCTTAATATCACTCCTAAAAAACCTCTGGATGTAGGCAGCTAAGACAGCAGTCAAAACTCACTCAAATTTGATGAAACGCAATGTAAGGGATGAAACAAACGCTATTAATCAAAAAGTAATCAGCTTCCAAAAAAGAGTTAAAAAAGGCAAAGGAAACAGTATAAAGTAAAAGGGTAACGGAAATAGAATTAAGCAAAATAAACATGTACAGACAAATAAAAAGACATGGGTCCTCAGAACTGGATCATGAATCACCTAAACAATACTGTGATGAAATGTCTGAAACCCAAAAATCCTAAGCCCTTCAAAAGGGAAAACATACTATGCATCAAAGGAATGAGAATTAGATTTAAATCATGCCTCATTGGCAAGACACTGGTACAAGAAGTCAATGGACTAATCAAACTTAGTTATTTAAACCATTAAACATTTTATCATGCTTATAAATCCTTCTTGTTGTTAAGTGCCATCGAGTTGGTTCTAATTCAAAGCAACCCGGGATAGGGTTTCCAAGGAGCAGTTGCTGAACCTGCACCGCCCACCTTCAGAACAGTCGGTTCAGTACTGTACCGACTTTGCAGTACAGTACATTTAAGTCATTGCATCACACCAGGGCTCCTTCTAAATCTTATAGGTCAGCAATTCTGAAAAGTCAGAAAACTGACTTTTCTCTTGTTCACAAAGTCTGGGTCTCATCTGGGAAGACTCAAATGACTCATGTTGACTCCAACAGCTGCAAAAGTGGAGGTGGAAGAACAACTTTTAGGGAGGTTTCTATACTTTTATACCTGATATCTGTGCTAGAATGTTGAAGAATGGGCTCAGTTAGGTCTTAAACTAGAGCACCTACAAATGGACTCTCCACTTGGTTTAGCTTCTCGCAGTATGGCAGATGTTTCCCGGAAGGAATAAGAAATGCCTGCAGAGCAAGCATTCCAACATAATCATTTGAAAGCTGTATGGTGCTTTCTGACCTGGTCGTGGGAGTTAAATGGCATCATTCCTGCCACCAAGTTCAGCCTGTGTTCAAGCAGAGAAAAATACCTTGCAACATATCATCTGCCGCAAGAAGTAATAAAGTATAACCTTTGATAAAATAAAAACGGATCTATTATATACAAATGTGAAATATATAAAGATATTAGAAAAATGTTTAAACTGTCAATATTTGAATTAGTACTAACTTGATCCAGCTAACATTTTTGTTATTGTTGTCACATGCTCTTGAGTTACATCTGACTCACAGTGATCCTGAACACGGTTTCTGAGGAGTAGCTGGTGTTTGAACCACCAACCTTGTGGTTACCAGTCCAGTGCTTATCCTACAGCACACCAGGAGCTAGTATTTTTGTTGTTGTTGTTAGGTGCCATCGAGTCGGTACTGACTCATAGCGACCCTATGTACAACAGAACAAAACACTGTCCAGTCCTGGAACAACCTCACTACTGTGGCCACGCTTAAGTCCATCGATGCTGCAACTTTGCCAATCTACGTTGCTGGGGTCTTCCTCATTTTCTCTGACCCTCCACCTTACCAAACATGATATCTTTCTCCAGCAACTGGTCCCGCCTGACAATATGTCCGAAGTATGAGAGACAAAATTTGGCCGTCCTGGCCTCCAAGGAGCAGCTAGTATTTATTTATAGGATACCAAAACCAAACCTAGCACACTATCATTGTATAGATTCTAACTCACAGCAACACTCAGTCCAAAAACATCTTACTAAGGCACAGATCCTAACTAAAAGATTGGCAGTTCAAATGCACCCAGTGAAACCATGGAAGACAGGCATGCCAACAAACGTCTTTATTATAGCCACTGACAACACCATGGAGCAGTTCTACTCAGACACATGTGGGACTGGCATGCATTGGAACCAACAGAGGGTTTTGGATTTGTTTTGTTTTATCAAAATAAACCATTTCAAAGTTATGTAATAGGAGCCCTGGTGGCACCACAAAATAAGGTCAAGACTGTTAACCAAAAGGCCAGCAGTACAAATCCACCACCTGCTCCTGGGACAAAGATGAGACTTTAAGCTCACATAAAGATTTAGACTCAGAAACCCTATTGTTGTTGTTAAGTGACATCGAATTGGTTCCGACCCATAACGACCCTATAGAGGGTTTCCAAGAGACAGCCGGTGAGATTGAACCACCGACCTTGAGGTTCAAATGACTTTGCAGTCCAGCGCATTAACCCACATCACCACACCAGGATTCCCAGAAACCCTATACAAGGTCACTATGAGTTAGAATCAACTCGATGGCAGTAAGTTTAGATATATATAATAAATATAAATTTAAAAGATTAAAGTAATGTACAGGATGCTCTCTAAAACCAATATGTTAGACACCAAAAATGGAAATCTCTTGGTGATGCCAATAATATGTACACTAAATAAGACACTTTTAATAACAGACTTAGTCATGGGTCTAAAAAGAATTAGAATCAATAAGAAACTTAGAAAGTATCTGAAATTAATAAAAACGGATATGCAACATATTAAAATATGTGTGATGCCACAAAAATAGCACCTCGAGTGAAATTTGTTGCTCCAAAAACCTATGTTGATAATGAAGAAAAGGTCTTAAAACTCAATGATTTAAACTTGTATCTTGAAGAAACAAAAACAGTAGAGCAAATTAAAGAAAAAGGAAGCAGAACAAGTAGAAATCAATGAAACAAAAATAAAACACGTACCCAAAAAAAAGGAAATCAATGAAATCAAATCAGGCTTTCAGAAGATTATTAACATTTATAAACTACTAGCGACAACAACAACCAAAAAAGACACCTCACAAAATAATAACATTTAAAAATATTAATAAGGGAATGTTATAAATAATTTTAGACCAATAATGGGATACTGGAATGAATTGGACAACTCTTTACACACACAACCAACCAAAGCACACTTAAGAAATAGGTAATAGTATACCCTTAGACCTATTAAAGATAGTGAATTTGTAGTTAAAATAAGAAATAAGAAATTAAATAATAAAAGAAATTCTAAGCACAGATGGCCTCGGTGGTAAATTCAACAAAGCATTTAAGAAAGAAAACACCAATTTTATACAAAGGGTGGTACACATTCCTTAGAATAATCAGCCATAAGAGATCAAAAGGGCAGCATTTGCCCAAGGATAAAACTCAGAAGGAAGGAAAGGATAGGAGAGAAGGCTGAGTTGAAATAGTAAACAAGGGAGGAAGAGGCAAATCCATTGTGGAGATTACATTGTGGGGGCTGGCATCAACTTCACAAATCAAAATGTGTATGAATAGTTGAATGGAAAACCAATTTGCTCTGTAACCTTGCACCCAAATAACAATAAAAAGCAAACAAAATAAAATTAGTAAATTGAATCCAGCAATATGAAAAAGCATTATCATTTTATGATGAAGTGGTATTTATGACAGGAATGCAAGGTTCATTTACCATTAAAAAATAAATCAATATCATTTGTCATTTAAAAAAACAGGTAAAAAGGAAAAACATATGGTTCTCACAATAAACTCAGAAAATGCATTTGACAAAATCCAGCATACATACCTAATAAAGACTCTCAGAAAAGTAGTAACAGAAGGAAAGTTACTCAATATGATGAATGGCATCTACAAAAAACAAAGCAAAACTAAAACCTCACACCAACAATCATATTTAATGATAAAAGACGGAGTGCTTCCCCTTAAGCAGGAATCATGATAAGACAGCCTGTTCTCACCACATCTATTCAACTTTATATTGAATGTATGATAAACACAGTAAGACAAGAAAAATAAATAGATGACTTTTGGATTGAAACTAGAGGAAAAGAAGAAATAAAGTCATCTGTATTCACATATGACACCAACTTTTATACAGAAAACCAATTAATAGCAGTAGGTGGCAAAGGTAAGCAATGATAAAAAAAGAACTGAACAATACCTCAACCAATGAGGCCTAAATGACATTTATAAAACATTCTACTCAATAATAACACAATATATATTATTTTCAAGGATACAGGTGACATTCACTAAGATAAAGCATTACCTTGGGTCAGACATTAATCCTTAAAAATGGTAAAAGAATAAAAGTTAACATAAAGAAAACAGGGCAATTCCAAATATTTAGAAATTAGGCAGCACACTTCTAAGTAATGGATCAGAAAGGGAGTCTCAAGGAAAATACAAGAATACACTGTCTAAATTTAAATGTAATATAAGAATAACTGTAAGACAAAGCTAAATCAGTACTTATTATGAAATTTACATGAATACATACTTATAATAGAAAAGAAATCATCTAACCAACAATCTAAGCTTTAACCTCACACTATAAGAAAAAAAATAAGCCTCAAGCAAGCAGCCACCATTCATCTGTCAGCTTGTTCTACTGTGGTGGTTTGTGAGTTGCTGTGATTCTGAAAACTATACCACCGGTATTTTAAATACTAGCAGGGTCACCCATGGTGGACAGGTTTCAGATGAGCTTCCAGACGAAGACAGACTAGGAAGAAAGAGTGACTAACTACTTCCAAATATTTAAGTCACTGAAAACCTTATGAATAGCAAAAATCACTGTCAGACACAGTGCTGGAAAATGAGTCCCTCAGGTTGAAAGGCACTCAACATGCAACTGGGGAAGAGCTGCCTCCTGAAAGTAGAGTTAACCATGATAACGCGAAAGGAGTAAAGCCCATGGGAGAAAAGTCCGTGGGACCTTCATATGCTGATGGGGAACAACTCAAAATGAAGAGAAACAGGGGAAAACATCAATTGAAAATCGGAACAGGAAATGTACAAAGTATGAATCTGGGAAAACTGGAAGTTGTCAAAATTGAAATGGAATGCATAAACATCGATATCTTAGGCATTAGTGAGCTGAAATGGACTGGTATTGGCCATTTTGAATCAGACAACCACAAGGTTTACTATGCGGGGAATAACAAATTGAAGAGGAATGGTGTTGCATTCATTGTCGAAAAGAACATATCACATCAGTCACGAGGTACAACGCTGTCTGTGATAGGATAATATCCAAAGAAGCCCAGTTAATACTACTATTATTCAAATTTATGCACCAATCACTAAACCCAGTGAGGATGAAATAGGAGAATTCTACCAACTTCTTCAATCTGAAATAGATCCAACATGCAATCAAGATGTATTGATCATTACTGGTGATTGGAAGTCAAAGGTTGGGAGCAAAGAGGAAGGATCAGTAGTTGGAAAATACAGCCTTGGTGATAGAAATGATGCTGGAGAACGCGTGATAGAATTCTGCAAAACCAATGATTTGTTAATGTCAAATACAGCATAAGAGACAACTATACACATGGACCTCACCAGATGGAATACAAAGAAATCAAATTGACTACATTTGTGGAAAGAGATGATGGTAAAGCTCCATATCATCAGTGAAAACAAGACCAGGGGCAGACTGTGGAAAAGACCATCAATTACTAAA